TTACTGGACGTTCAAGAGGTAACTCACTTTCATTATTTAGGTTGTTGCCTCATTTCACTATGCATTAATTCAAATCGTAAGATATTAATGTTTAAGTTTATTTTCCTTCATTGCTCAGAAATGTTTTTTTTTTTATTTTAAGAACTAGTTAGTCATTCGTGGGGGATTGTTGGGAATGATTAATTTGTTCTTAAAAGACTTAGTCTTATAGCTATTTTTAAAGTTGACAAATTTAGAGTATGTTATTTCTAACTTTACTATTTTTTAAAACAACCAAAAATAGCATACTATTTCTATATAAATAAAGTCTTGTTTTTGTTTTAGAATACAAAAAGAAATTTTTTCTGAGCACGTTTATCGATTCCATTCGGCCCCGACGAGTGCACGCCTGGGTTCGAAGTTGTGTTAAACTTGGGAAGCAACCAGAAAGTATACGATATAGCACCAAGGTCATGCCGAAATTGCTTTCAAGACAGTTGCTTCGTCCACGGCACAACAATCTTTTTATTTGATCTTATTATTTTTCCAACATGAACTTATCAACTCATATTCCCGACGTTTGTTGCAAAACGTCGGATGAAATAACACATATATTAATGCTTTAAATAAAACAATGGGCAAACTCATCCCAACATTTTTGTAAAAACGTTGGTATAAGATTAATTCTCGCAACATTATTAATCAAACGTTGGGATAGATTATGTTATCTCAACATTTTTGTAAAAACATGGAGAGATGTATCTTTCTCCCACGTTTTTATTAAAACGTCGGAATATTTAGTGCGTAACGTTCATGTGTTTGAATTTATCCGTTCATATTCCTAACATTTTTTGTAAGACGTCGGAATAAATCGAATATTTCCCGATATTCTGTAGAAAACGTCGGTAGATACAGATTTTTTCCCAACATTTTTGTAGAAATGTTGACAAAACTTATAATTATCCCTACGATTTTATTTTCGTCGCGAGAAAATGACTTCTCCCGATGGCTTTTTAACGTTGAGAAAAAATTCGTTGGGAAAGCAATAAATTCTTGTCGTGTACAGAAGTCTCCGTATTACGAGTGGGTAACAATCGTCAAGGTCTCGCAACGGTATTTACATAGGACACGAGGTCGACCGTTCCATCGTTATTGTATCGATATCATCAAAGATATCGTAACAGAACCAAATAAATTTTGGAGTTTCCATGTCAAATTATTATCGTCATTTCAGGAGGGCTTGAACCTGGATCTTGGATGTCAGCCTCTTTCAACCTCTAGTGCTTGGATTTCAGTTTGGTACCGGTCTACCATCAGATCCGACAGTGCAACCTTTTCCTCTACCTTGCATACTCTACGTTTCGCTTCGTGCAGCTGATCAATGAGGGACTCTTCGTCGGCTTTGCTATAATCTGAATCGCTATACGAACATTCTGTCTCCATATAGATATTAAACTTCTGGTTGACCTCATCTTAGGAAAAGATGAGGATCATGTGGCGACTGGTCGCTTAGTCACACATTGCACTGTTTGCACGCACGCGAAAAAAAAATGAAGTGCAATCTGCAAACTTAGGTTTGGGATGATCGTCCAGGGTAGAATAAATTTATATATATGAACTGTGGGTGGTGGTTGGCTGGTTTACAAATTTAGGCCATGGGTTGTGAGCACTAATTTAAGTTAGTTGAAGACAAGAATTAATTTGATGCTAACTTGATTGACGTAGTAATTGAACTAAATTGTACTACTTCTGCTAATTGTATATATTGTACATAGACGACATGATGGTACAAGGACATCAGAATGCGAAAATAGAAAGATGGTGGCGATAGCAGTATAGAGCTGTATCGATTGCTGGAACCACGGGTGTACTGGTAAAAAAGATGTCATCCATCAATATACTTAACGACATCGATATCGGTTAACTATTCCATATAACGACATCGGGATCGCAACGACACGATGTCAATATACCACGTACTATACGGAGGGTCAATACAGATGTGTCGATGTCGGTTAACTATTCGATATAATGACATCTGTATCGCAACAATACAAATGTTAATATACCACCTACTGTACAGAGGGTTAATACGGATGTGTCGATGCCGATGTCCGATACGTGGATCACTGACATATGGGATCGCTGATGTCGCAGTCAACACCAATGTAAATCTGTGCTCATTAAGGACATCGAGATCTTCTTCGTCACGTGTCAGGTAAAACCACAGAGACAATAATTTAGATTATATATTCAACCTCTACACGGGTACATACCAATGACTCTGCATTAATGCGATATGTTATTAATGTTCGTTCGAACTACCCACTGCGAAAAATAAATACGGTGTGATAAGTGCGATGTCGTCTGGTGCACTAGGCAAATTGTTTTTCTCTTATTTTTATATTTTTTTATTTATTGACCTAAAGAGCCGGTGTCTTCGTGTATGCATATATGTGACCATACAACACTATTTATTTTTATTTTATTTGCCTTACTATGTAGTGAATAAAAAACAACTGCTTGGACTCTGGTAATTCAACGCCAATAGACGCAATGGAAGAGAGTGTCGACAACTGCTTGGACTCCGGTACTTCAACGCCAATAAACGAGGGATGGTTCGAAAGGGCCAAGAATGCGATGCAACGAGCCCAACTACTCCTTATGGGGATTCAGCTAGAAGCGAATTAAAAAATGCAGGAGTATGAGACGATACAAGAGCAGATAGCATACAGAGATGCAATGAAAAAAATATACAAATGGATGGCGAAACGGGAGAACCATCTCGCGGCCCTACAGCGACACCCTTAGGCAACGACCTTGATCGTCGTGGATGTTGTTTTCTTCATGTTTTTTTTTTTGTTATCTTTGTCTGTACTTAGGACGCATATTTAATGGAACGACCTAGCAATTTGCCCTAACTTGTTGTGCAGTGTACAGATGTTTGGTTTACCAAGCCATTGATAAATTACTGAGCGCACGACCGTCAATATTGGCAAAGAAAAAAACCTAAAATAAATACAAAATAGATACAAAAAATTAAAAAAATATATTAAAAAAATCAGACACAAACAAGTCTAGTAATAATAATAAAATTAATTAGAATCAAAACTTTTTTCGGAACTTTTTAACATTTTTTTTCTAGTTTTTTTTGGTACGTTACTTGTCTAATAATTGGATTTCAATTCACATAAAACCGTTTTTGTAACAACGAGACCTTAGGCATTCGCTGAAGGAAAAAAGCGGATGGCAGATCTCAAATAGCAATATATATATATATATATATATATATATATATATATATATATATATAATAATAATAATAATAATAATAATAAAAAAGAAAAAAGAGTAACCATACCCCTACATGTTAGTGCTCAGGAAAAATCAATAAGAAAATAAATAAACAGAAAAAATATATCATGTGGACAGGAAAAATCAATAAGAAAAAATATATATAAAGAAATAAAGAAATTACAAAGAATACTTTTTTAAAAAAATAATTACACATATTTTTCTTCAATGTTATTATTAATATTGCAGTTAAGCGAATTAATACCGTTTAATTCCCAATGCATGCCTATAACACGCAACTAACGTTTGGTATTCATTGCATGAATACATTATTACATTTTCGGTTTTCTTTTTTTATAAATAGACTCCTTAATGCAGTCTACTCGTTCATTAACAATGTCGAGCATTGCGACATTTCCTTACGTGTTAGAAATTTCAAGTTCTTACTATTGCGAAACTGAAGGAAGAGTTCCCAGTATAGGGGATGACCGATGTTGACGAAGACGAGGCGGATCAAACTATACAAGAGCTCACGCGTGAGTTTGGATGCGTGGACGATCTGGAAGAGAGGCGAACCAGATTATTCGCACCTTGATGGATGAGCTGACCGACGTAAAGCAGCGTCTCGAGTTCTACAAAGACATGCATTCTACTGCCCATAGACGATAAGCAAGATCTCATACTCAAGATCCAGAGGTTGGAGGAGAGTATCGTGGTTGCCGAGGAGTAGGAAAACTGCCGCACTTGTTACACTTTCAATCATCTCATTTCTACTTTTCATTATGGGTAATTCTTTTTTTCCTATGAACGTAGCTCTTTGTCTTTTTCTTTTGTCTTCATGTAATTTTTTATATATATATTTATCGTATATTGTTTATTTTATAATATATTTTCCTGTCAATACATATCTCACCTCTTCTAAGTAAATTTAATTTAGATTTTAATCTTAAAAAAATATATAATAATAATTTAAATTTAACCCTATCGATATAATTGTCTTTATGTATTGATCTCGCCCTCCGTAGCTTTATCGATATTTATGCAACTAACTTTATCTCTAAGTCTCCGTTGCATTGTGTCGCTACTGCATGTTGTTATCGATATCGTAATTTTATATCGGCATTGTGTATCACTTTTGCTAGCTGTTGCGTTCGTCTATGTGGTATCCAAATGAAAGTAAGAAATTTATCGGTAATGCTTTCATCGTTACTTTTGTCTACCAAAGATACAGCTATCATTAAGCGTGTTATTTACCATGATGTAATATAATAATAGGGTAAAAAAAAGACCAAAAAATGGAGGGAAACATATTGAAAATTCAAAGATGAGGGGAACAAGATTAAGGGATGAAAATTTGGGGATGAAGGATGGATGAGTAATTTAACATGCAATACATTTATAGTTTTCGTAACTATAATTATAAAGATAATGTATCTAAGAGTGACGCGCCAATTTAAAATGAGATACTATTGAACGTGACAAAAAATATTAGAAACGAGTCAAACTTTTATAATAAAAATCTCTCTCTCACAAGGAAGGGGAGAGAGAGTGTTTGAAAAGACATTTGACAAATGTAGGAGCAGAGTTGCACGTGGAACGGGCGAATGGTGCGTGTGTGTAAGTCAACTTTTATTTTCCGTCACCACCACAACTTTTATTTGCCTCAATCTCTCTCGTGTGCAAATGATGGGCTTTATTCAAGTTTCAACACACAAATAAATTAAATATATCTCCACAACCACAACTGCTATATAATATATATGTTTGTTTGTATAAAATAAAATGTACATCAATTTATTTGATCACTTGTTGGCAGACAAGAACAGACACACTCCATTGTCCAATACTATCAACCCCACCTTTTTTCACCATCTCTTTTTCTCCTGCAAATATCACCAAAAATATATAATTAAAATAAGGTTTTAAATTATAATTTTTTTAAATATTTAATACGTTATTGAACGTTCAATTTTTTTTGTTCGGTACGTCTAACTTATTGCGAATATTAGAGACCTATTTGATACAAAATTCAAAGCTTAAAAATTTATTACAGTATTGAGAAAGAGAGTAAATAATACTTGCATACTTTCATTAATTGCAAAGCAGGGATATAAATACCCAAAACCAAACTTGGTTACAAGATGACTGCCAACTAACTGATATAAAACTAACTCTAATACTCCCCCTCAAGATGGGAGTAAGGGATTAACAACACCCATCTTGGATAAAAGCAAGTGTAGAGATTTACAAGGAAGAGCGTTTGTAAAAATATCTGCATGTCAATACGAATGGGCAACAATTTTACCATATCATCCAACACCTTATCACGAACAAAATGGCAATCTAACTCGATATGTCTGGTCTGCTCATGAAAAATATATGATAGGGTTAGTAGCAATATGAACTGCAACTTGATTATCACAAAATAGAAGAGCCGGAGAGGAACAAGTATCTGTAAAGCAGTCAAAAGGTGAGAAATCCATACAATCTCACTAACAGTGGCAGCAAGGGCGCGATATTCCGCTTCAGTTGAAGAACGAAAAATAGTACTTTGCTTCTTGGCTTTCCAAGAAACAAGGGAATCACCAAGAAATATACAAAAACCGGTAGTAGACTTGCGAGAATCGAAACAAGAGCCCCAATCCGCATCAGCAAATGCACGGAGTTGAAAAGATTTAGTAGGGTTTAACAAAATCTCCTGACCTGGGCAGCCCTTCAAATACCGAATAAGAGAATGCACAGCAGCCAAATGTGTGGTATGTGGAGCAGCCATAAATTGACTCAATTTATGGACAGTAAATGTAATATCAGGACGAGATATAGTAAGATATAGGAGACGTCCAATAAGCCTACGATACACAGATGGGTCATCCAACAATTTTCCATCGGAAGCAGACAATTTAATGTTAGGATCCATGGGTAAAGGACAAGGTTTAGTAGCCAAAAAACCTGTATCCTCGATTAATTGGAGAGCATAATGTCTCTGAGATAAGAAAATTCTAGTAGATGACCTAGTCAATTCAAGTCCCAAAAAATATCTCAATGGTCCTAAGTCTTTGAGCTTGAACACATTATTAAGGTGAACTTTCAAGCTATCAATGAGAGATGAAGAAGCACTAGTAACAATGATGTCGTCCACACAAACAAGAAGAGCAACAAAAGATGCACCAGAGCCTTGAATGAAAAGAGAATAATCCGATTTAGTCTGTTTGAAACCAAGGAGCAAGATGGCATCAGAGAACTTATCAAACCTTATATATAGACTTGTGGAGAAGGCACACGAGACGCTCCCCCTGAGAAGCAACCACATTATATTGATAACCAAGAGGCAAGTCCATGTACACCTCCTCGAATAAGTCACCATGGAGGAATGCGTTGTTAACATCAAACTGCACTAAATGCCAATTTAAAGATACAACAAGGGAAAGCAAAACTTTAACAGTGACCATGTTGGCCACAGGAGAAAAAGTTTCAATGTAATCGAGTCCTTCTTGCTGAGTGTAGCCTTTGGCAACTAAGCGTGCTTTAAATCGATCAACAGTTTCATCAGACTTGTGTTTGATTTTGTAAATCCACTTGCAACCAATGGAATGTTGCCCAAGTGGAAGTGGAACAACAGACCATGTGTGGTTAGTCCCATGGCTCGTAATTCATCACGCATAGCATCACGCCAATAAGAGAAAGGCACGGCCTGGTGGTAATATTGAGGTTCATATGTGGTAGAGATATTGAGAGCAAAATTTCTATAAGAAATAGAGAACCTTTCATAAGTCAAATAATTGGGTAAGGAATATTTGATGCCAGATGAAGTGACATAAGAAGAATCAAGAAAACCACAATGATAATCCCTTAAATATGAAGGTTGACGAATTTGCTTCCTCTCCACAACAGAGTTTTGTTCCGAGTGACCAACGCAAGAAAACTGATGGAGAACTCCTTTGGAATGAAAGAATTCAATAAATAATAACTGGGGGGCATTATATAATAACTGGGGGGCATTATGAGACCGAAAACATTTGATAGTCTTGCCAAACTGTATCTTGATCAGTGTAAAAAAGCGAGGAACAATGACCAACGCATCTGATTTTTGTTTCATTAAAAAAGTCCACGTATATCTAGAGCAATAATCCACAAGAGTGAGAAAATATCTATAACCGACATGAGTAGATGAAGCATATGGACCCCAAACATCACATCACAGTGAACTAACTCAAAAGGTTGATCAGAAATGTGATTATGAGAGTCAAAACAAAGACGTTTCTGTTTAGCCAAAGGACAAACTAAACAAGGATCATCATGTTCATGTTTAGGTAGAGACTCAATATGTAAAATATTCTTCAAAGCTAGTAAATATTTAGGGGATGGATGCCCAAGTCTAGCATGCCATATATTGTAAGTGGAGACAAAATTATAAATAGCAGTAGATGATGTCAAAGCACAAGTAGGCAGCTCAACCGGAAGAAGATAAACTCCTTGCCAAACATCAGCTCTGCCAATCGTCTTCAAAGACAATTTGTCCTAAAGAAACACAGTAGTCATTAGAGAACTGAGCAGATATAGGACAATCGGCTGTTAATGCACTGACAGATAGCAAATTATATCTGAATGTAGGCACAAACATCACATTTGTGAGTAAAAGATCAGCACTAATTTGGACACTTCCAACAAGTTCAACTGTGATACGAGAGTGATCTGGCAAGGATAATGAAATTCCAGAAACTGGTGCAAGGTTAACAAATAGATCCCGGTTGAAACAAACATGAGCAGAAGCACCAGAGTCCACAACCCAATGTGTATGTAAAATTCTGGAATAAGAGGTATTGTGACAAATACCTGCAACGTGAGACTGATTAGTGTTTGTATCAAGACTAGTTTGCACTTTGGACAAATGTGATTGCAATAGATTTAGGAGGCATTGACATTGATCAGCACTAAGTGACGCCAAGGAACTAGAAGCATCCTAAGAACTTGAAGAAGGCGCAGATTTTGCGGAGTCATTGGTGGATCGAGTGGATGCACTGGAATTTGTTGAAGAATTGGATCTGCTGCCAGATGAGCGATAACCAGGTGGATACCCGTGTAACTTATAACAGCGATCTACTGTGTGGCCAACAAGACCACAATGAGAGCAAACCGGTTTATCCTTTCGTTTAGGTTGAAAATTGGAGGAATTCACTCGACTGTTGATAGACGAAGAAGAAGAACTGTTCTTCACCATAAGAGCTACTGGAGTAGGAGAAATCGATGCAGTAATTGCACGTTGTTGAGCTTCTTGCGCAACAAGTGAGAACGCCCGATTAATCGATGGTTCTGGCTCCATGAAGAGTAATTGAGCACGTAGTTGGCTGAAAGATTCATTCAACCCCATGAGAAAACACATTACGTGTTCTTGTTGATTAAAAGCTATGGAAGCTTTGACTCCTCCACAAGTATAACGACCACAGGTACAAGAGGGTCCAATAAAAAGAAATTTCATTCCACAAAGTCTTCAAACGTGTATAGTAAGCACTTACAGACAATTGATCTTGCACCAAATTGGAAAGTTCACGACGTAATTGAAATATGCGAGGACGATTTTGCCGCTGGAATCGTTCCTTCAAATCGAGCCAAATATCGCGTGCCGAGTCACAGAGAAGCACGCTGGCAGAAATTTCCTTTGATAAGGAATTCAAAATCCAAGAGATAACTACATTGTTACAAATAATCCAAGCTTGCAACAATTCATCCGTCGACGGTGGGAGGGAGCCATCAACGAAGTAGACCTTGTTCTTGATTGAGAGCGATTAGCATAGATCGACGCCAAGAAGTATAATTGTCCTCTATCAACAGATCTGATACAAGAACAAGGCTCGTATCTGATTGGTGCAAAAAATAGGGATTGATGTATTGTTCGAGTGTAGTCTGATTTAGTGAAGAAGATAAGTCTGCTGTGGGATTGATGTGGTCATCTTCTGCCATTGATGTAGCAGAAAAGAGATGCAAGTGACGCCAAAAGAAACCGCCAAATTCCGATGGCAATTTTGGGAAATACTCCGAAAAACTCTCAGTGCAAACCACGTGTATCTTGCTCTGATACCATATTGAGAAAGAGAGTTAGAATACTTTCATTAATTGCAAAGCAGGGAGATAAATCCCAAAAACCAAACTTGGTTACAAGACGACTGCCAGCTAACTGATATAAAACTAACTTTAATAGACAGAAAATTAAAAGTTAATAGGTATATCAGACATTATTAACATTTACGGATCTATTACATATAAAATTGAAAGTTAATTGACTTATTAGACATTTTTTTTTACGTTTAATAGACTTATTTGATACAAAATTGAAAGTTTAAAAACTTATTAGACATTTTAAAAAAAAAAAACTTAGAAATCGAACTTGAAATTTATGGATTAAACTTATGAATTAACATTGAACTAATCACCCGAACCGTGTTGTTTTCCACTAATTACAATCTTGGTTAGAATTCTAACAGTAGTAATAACAAAATTTTGAAACTTATCAAATTCAATTTTGAGTGAACCAAGTGTGACATGCTAGGAAGATTTTTATTCCAATTTATAGAGGAAGACAGCTTTTTTCTTTAAATTAAACATCTTCCATTTGTGGGAACGAACTTTTGGCTCCACTAACGGAGGGCAATTTTGACGGTTTCAAAAGTCATGTACAAATTCTTTCTTAATTAAATATTTAATTTTTAATTCATGATAGCTCAAACTTGTATGACCGATGAATAGAGGGACTTGCAAAAAGGAGAAATAGCTTTGATGCTCATATAAGTACTTATCCGATCTATGTTCAAGAGAGTATAATTTCGTGTGCGTGAAAAGTGAGACAAGCATTTATATTTATAGAGATGAGCTTCTTACAAGACCTCTAATAGTATTGCACCAGCTCTCTGACATTCGTGAGATTCACAGCATGTTGTCTGACATGAAGTTGGAGGTTTGCGCCTGCAAATGCTCATAAAGGTCGTCTCATCCTTTACGAAGATTAGTCGAAGTATGAAATGTTGGTCGGCTCAAAATAGCTTGTCGAGCTATTGGGGATCACTCGAGGATCCTCTTAGTGATGAGTCACACCCAGTTCTTCCTGTCATTTGGATGATGAATAACTCTATGATTCATGGTTCGTGACGCATGGCCGGCGATAATTCGCCTCCAACAATTGCTCCCATTTTGGCGAGTTGGATACTCGTCTTGTCGAATGACTGTTCGACAGGGATGATCACTAGATTGCCACACCCTACCGAACTTTTAATGAATCACAAGAGGCGTGGAAGGGATAAACTGTTAGTGTAATCAAGTGCCGATGTTGAGGAACTTTAATCTTGACTGTTGACTTTAAGTTGTTCGAACAGCTGCGATCAATTGATCGAATCCTATAAATAGGAAGCGTCCTTTGGCATATTTTTCACTTTTTTGAAAGAAAAACTATCTCTGCTATTGATCAAGGTGAGGTTGCTTTAGCTCGTCTAATTAGATACTTTTATTAATTAGGTTAGTATTCCTTGTCTGCTTCGTAATTTCATGAATTCATCTTTCTGCTATAAGTATGAGTAGCTCATCTCCTACGAATAGAAGCAGATATTTGCCAACCTATAGAAGTTCTTCCTCGATTTGAAGGAATTTAATATGATAGTTTAGCTGAAAACCTTCTGGTAGATCAGCCTTCACTTCCAGTTGTCAAATTGTTGAATCATGCCCATCGACCTGTTTTGTAGACACCTTAGTTGAACTCTATCAAAAATATCTTATCCTATAAAATATAAACCTTAGGTTACCTAAGGGTGGTGAATCCTCGGATGACCCTCCTACAAGATTTGTCAAAATCTATCCTCGGATGAAATGGAAGTTAGACTTCTTCTCCATTATTTTATTCAAATGTTCCATAGCTCGGTCAATCTCATTCGAAATGATTGGACGATCTTACTAGGGTTGTGGTATATTTGGTGGGGCTTTGGAAACTGTGAGAAGGATAATTTAGCCATAGATCAGTTTCTTGTCACTCATATAGTCAAATCCTATAAAGAGACAAGATAGTACTTTATTAAGCTTATTAGATTTCAAAACCACAAATTAACAACTAAATGAATCTTAAACTCTCAAAATAATAATGAAGAAAAAGCTAGTTTATTTTCAGCTCGAATAAAATCAAGAAATATTAACTTCAATAAGTTTCAACCCCACATAGCAACAGTAAACAAAACTTAAACTTTCAAAAGAATAAAGAACCAACAAACTAAAATAACTTTCGRTTTGAACAAAGAAACAACTATGGATCACTACTAAATGTTAACCACATTATTGAAAGAAAACTATCCCAAACAAACTCAACTAGAAAATGAACCATTTGAACTATCCTATACAAGAATGATAAATAAAAACTAAAAATGCAGCTAAAGGTTTCAGGTCAAGTCTTCTCCACACCATCACCATTCTCGTGAGTCACATCATCACCTGCAAAATCTGGAGAAAAAAGAGGATAATGCACAAAACAACATGCTTTTCACAACATCAAACATCATGTTCATCAATCTATATATATCCATGCATTTAGGTAAGAGAGAACATATACTTGACTAAACATGCATCCTACATGCCAAGCCCAAGTCTCACAAAACTCACTAGACTTCTCTTTCTTATTCGTCTAAGACTTACTCCTTCGAGTCGTACCAACCTCTGACCACAACAAGCTCGCTGTCGTTTCAATCCAAGCTTGCTGTCGTTTCAATCCATATTGAAGACGAGGATTTCATGATCTATACACTCAATGGTCTTCCATTGACTACAATGTCTTTCACACTTCCCTACAAACACGCGCCACTTCCCCATCCTTAGAAGGTCTTCATATCCTAATTAAGGCTGAGGAGTTTGCCATCTGAGCACAAATGAAATTACCATTAGACTCTCTCTTGCCACTGTCTTTTTTGCTCAATCACGATCTTCTAATAATTCTCATTTTTTTCGTAACAGGGGTACTCACCGAGGACATGGACGTGGCGGTAGCGTCGAGCGACCCTTCCTCGGACGTGGTAGCAACAATGGCCATGGCGGTTTTGGCATGCCCTTCCCGGCCACCGATCCATCATCCGGGTGGCCCTTCCTAATCACCAGAACTCTCTTCTCCTCACAAATTGATCTGCCAAATCTGTCAAAAGTTTGGACACTCTGCCCTAGACTACTACAATCGGATGAGTTATGCTTTTAAGGTCGTCATCCACCACCCCAATTATCTACCATGGTGGCAGCCTCAAACACCCATTCGATCCTGATGGTGGCTGTAACACCCATTTAAATGTTTATTTCTATTATTATTTTTTAAAATTTCTTTTTAGTACAGTCCACAGATATTTTTGTTTATGAAATTATTAAAATCTTCACGTTTAAAAAATTTTAAAAATAGTTTTTTTTTTTTTTTTTGAGTTTCTTAAAATTGACCATGACTCTTGAATGTGACAAAAACGAAATAAAAAATTTGTGGCGGTTAACAAGTTTAATCTATTTAATATATAAAACCATTATCAAGGCATAAACCAAGTTGAAATTGACGATCTAATTAATATATTTTATCCTAAAATATAATAAGTTGAATTTAGAGCTAGAGGATCTGTATAACAAATAATTATTCTACTTCTTTACAAACTTAATGATTTCATCAAGGAAAAAAAAATGTTTGTGCCACCGAGTATAGTTAAATGGATTAAGATATTAGAAACGTTTCGAAGTTATAATATTTTAAGTCCTCTCGTATGTTTTATTAGTACAACATGTAGGGGTGGAGATTCAAACTTACAACTATTTGATCAGAGATAAGTGGGTTAAGAACTATGTTCAGATTGGCTCTTTTATATGTTTGTAATGTTATACTCCAAAAAAATCAATTATGTGTATTTAAGAAGAGTTAATAAATAATAGGCTAAATATTTGTTTTAGTCCCTAATCTTTTGAGTTTTTTTTTTCTTTTTTAATTTGGTCCCTAGAATTTCAACTTATTTTTTTTCCAATGAAGTTTTTGTTGTCACAAAACATTAAGAATAACTAACAAAATGATGATGTGACGTAAAAAATACACACTTCCATAATTAAGTTTTTTACACGATTTTATTAATTTTGTTAAAATTACTCTAGGTTATAAATTTTATAAATTAAAGTTAGTAATCCATAAAAAATAAATAAATTTACTCATTTCATATGACTTAGTTTGTACTTACCTGATTTGAAATTGTCGGTTAGATATAAAGAAATGGTCTACTAAATATTTTTTTACTTGATAATACCCCATATTGTTACACCTAATAATTAATCAACAACTTCGACTAAACAGTGATTGACATATATTTTCGATTAAGAGATTGTGAGTTTGAATTTCCATCTCTGACATGTTGTATAAGAAAGAAAAACTTCATGAATATTACTATTTTTAAATTTATATATTGTTTGTTAAACATCTTTTGATTGTAAGGACATAACTAAAACGATTCAATACATGAAAGATGTAATTGAAACTTTAATGTCCTGTATGATAACTATTTAAGCACCCTTGGACAGTTTTGTTTATTTTTTTTATTTTTGAAAATTAAACCTATAACCATTACTTCCACCCATGTGAGAAACTATACTACAGAAAACGGAAAAAACAAGCATTATTTTTAGAAACTAAAAATCAAATCATTAACAAACCATGATTTAGTTTTCTATTGGGTTTTCTATTTTTGAAATTTATGTTTGTATGCTCACAATTTCTTTAGTTTCACCTTTCTTAAAAATACATTTGAATTCTAATCAAATTTAAAAATCCAAAATATTTTTTTGATATTTATTTTTTAGTTTTGAAAATTTGACTTAGATTTTGAAAACGTTTTTAAATAGTCGATAGAAAAAAAAAATACATGGATGAAACGTCAAAGTAGTATTTATAAACTTATTTTTCACAAAAAAAAATGAAGGCAAAAAATATTACAGTTGAAATAATATATAGATAGACTAAAATATATATATATT